TCAGCAGCTCTGTGAGGCTCACAGGCAGTTTTGCTGCCACTCATTCATGCTGATGCTCAGCCTTCTGAGTAGCTGGAGGTGTAGTTTTTGGTTTTCCCCAGAGTTCCCAATTCTGTTGGGAATTGCAGGCAGAGATGGCAGATGGTAAGAGCAGTGTAGGAAGTGTTTGGCAGCTCCCTGGGCCATCCCACTAAAAGGGCCTTTCAAGGGAAGCTGCTACCCTGGAAACCAGTCAGGCTCTGGAGGTGTAGGGTCCTCAAGGATGGGCATCACACTTAGATTGCTTGAGACAGACCTTGCACCCCCATCCAGCATCTACTGTGTCCTTCTGATCAAGTTAATCCGCAAAAATAGAGGCACCAAAGTAGCTCTGAGGAGACCTTTGAGAAGGAGGAGCTGGGCAGAGGTGGAGCTTTGAAAATTCCAGTCCTGTTCAGAAAGGTGCCAGCAACTGCTGCTGTTCCTATGGTATGTTGGGTGAGGTGGGAGCTCCAGTGACTATGTTTTAGCAACAAGCAGACTGATTTTCTTGGAATCTAATGGAAAGCCACTCGACTACTGCTTTTTTTGTGTCTACATTAAATGCCTGGGCAGTGTTGACAGATGGTTTGTCTTTCCTCTTGGCTTTTGTACAGAATGCTGAAGCACTCGTGGCTGTAAAACAACATCATTTTCCCTAAAGTTGTATAAAATACCTGCAGCTTGCTGTCTTGGCAGCCTTGTGCAGTGGTTCCAGTGGTCTATCCCAGTTGGGCTAGATGTTCCAACTAGGAAATGGACTCCCTTCAGCATCATCACCCTGGAGGGTCCAGGTTTTGTTACACCACAGCATGTAGTAGTTGATGTCTTAAACTGGATGGTGGTCTCTTGATGTGGTTTTTGAGGGGTTGGGTGGACACTTGCTCTTGCAGGTTGGTAAGGTTTTAATTTTCTTGGTTTTTTAGTAATGAATGATTCACAGTAGTGGCCTGTGGGGCAAGGTGAGCTGGGGGAAAAGTCCTGTTGCTAGTGCTGGGAGGCTCTTCAGTTCTCTCCTCCCTTCCTGTGGACTGTGGCACCTGACCTGCTTCTTGAGTTACCTTTGGGGGGACATGTGCAGTTGCTTCCTAAAGAACATTGTTTTGATTTTTTTTTTTTTTTTGCACAAAAGCTTCCTTAATGAACAATAAAAAAACTTCTGTAAACCACTAAGCTGCTGAGCTTCATTTCCTTGTTGTGGGCGAGTTGCCATTGGATCTTGTTGGAACCTTGTTTTAAACTCTTTCCTGCAGCTCTGGGGAGGAGGCACGTCCCAAAGTGTCACTGGGAATCCGGGGCTGAGTGGCAGGATTCCGGTGGCCATCGCCTCCTGCGTGTCCCATCAAGTCTTTGTTCCTGTGGAGCAGCAGCAGGGATTGCCAGGGCTGCAACGCCTGCTGTGAGGCAACAGCCCCCCTGTTGCAATTCCTTTCTCCGCCTGGTGCAGGATGGAGGCAGCTCCTGCTGGAGCCGCTTGAGATCACCCTTCACTGACCTTCATGTGGCACTTCAGATGCTTTTCCCGTTGTCTTCATCCCTTTGTTTTATTTTTAGTAAAATGGTTTTTAAATGTCACAAGTGCAACCTCATTAACACCATTAATTGTCTTTACAATCTGTGCCCCTGATCTTTTTTTTTAAAGGGGTGATGCTCTTCATTCAGAGCATATCCCATGGAACCAGGACGTTTTTCCCCCGCTGTGCCCACCTTTTTGCAGCTGGGAATGGTGAGGTTAGTGTTGAGCAGCAGGTTCTGGGCTGGTTTTTGTCTTTCTGGCAATACCTGCCTGGCTCTGGTCCCTCCCTCCAATTGCAGGCTGGGGATGATTTTATAATCAAGGTGTAAGGAGAGGGGTGTGGTAATTGCCCTGCGTAGGTGTGGGTTCTTGCTATTTCTCCCAACACATCCAAGATTCCTCAGACTGGGAACAGCACAGGAGAGGAACCAGCCACTGAGGACTATCTTAGGAACGGCATGGAGAGCAAATGGAGTGGCTGGGTGCTGATCCTTTCCGTGTGCCTAGGCTCCTACCAAGGTAAGGCCAGGCCTGGGGACAGGATGAGAGGAGAGCACACAAAACCCCTCTGGATCCCAAAAACTATTCCCAGCTGGAGTGTTTAAGCTCCCTAGTGTGCTTCCTTAGCCCTCTGTGGTGGTGGAGTTAAGCCAGAGGGGCAGGTGGCTCCTCCCACTGCTTTACCTTTTTGCCCACCTGGCTGTGAACATTGTGACTTTCTGCCCTTAAAGATGATCTTGGGGCAGGAAGAGGTTTGCTCTGCTTCCCTTCATCAGGAATTGGGATGGTTCTGGTGTTTTCCCAGGGTGTGGAAGGAAGGGAGGCTGGTTGGGTCGACCCAGGGGATTGATCCAGTGACCGATGGGTCAACTCTGCAGCAAGGGGGCTGCCTTGTCTGCTGCCCTCAGTGTTGGGACCTGCCATCTGGGGAGAAACCACTTGGTTGTCCTTGTGTGGTGTCACCTCCCCCTGTCCCTTTCCACAGGGGCCTTGTGAAGGTCCAGGCGGCAGGAAACTCCTCCCTGTCTGAGGAGGGTGATGAGGTGGAATCCTGTAGTGTCTTTGGAAACCTCTCAGTGCTTTGGCTGTGAGCAATCCTCCTGGGAATGAGCTCATCCTGCTCTCCCCGGATAAGAGTGGGAAGGTGATACCTGGCTTACACACCTGGCTCATCCCCTCCCCAGGAAACAGCTTGGGAAGAGTCTGTTTCCCACCACTGCTCTAGGGAAAGTGGCTTATCCCATGGGAAATTCCCTAGGGAAGCTGCTGTTGTGTGGGCAAAATACTCCCCTTTGGGAGAGAGAAGGAGCCCCTTTGGTGCCATAATTACCCCAGGCTCGGCCCATCAGCCTCCTCCAACCTGACCTGCCTGGCCACCTGCTCTGTGGTGGAGGAGCCCTGTCTGCACACGTGTATCCTGCTGGTGGGCAGGACATGCTGAGGTGGTTCCAGCCACCAACAGGCCCAGCAGGAAAGTTCACCCATGCTTGGCACGTCCGTCCTTGGGGTAACGCCAGCCCCGGGAATCCGGCAGCAACTCCTTGGCCACGGCTCAGCACAGCTTGGGAATACCAGGGGACCATAAAATGGGGAAGGATTTATGGTGGGGTTTTTTGTTTGTTGGTTTGGTTTTTTTTATGCTTTTTTTTGATGTTGGGAAGAGTGGATAGATGGGGTGTTTATTTTTTTGGTTCTACCAGGGCTGTGCACCCAGCCAGGAACTGGGGCGCCGGGGCCTCTGCCGCCACCCCCGGGTTTTACATCACAACCTGCTCACCAGGCTCAGCTGGCTTGGCCAGACTGGGAATTCTGGCACAGCCCTGCTCCTGCTCAGTACCCCCGCCTGCCCCCCCCCCAGCAAAGCCCACCCTGGAGGTCTGGCAGCTGGGAATGGGGCAGTACTGGCCACTGCAGAGGTGCTGGAGCATCCCAGCCCCACGTCCATGCTGGGGATTTGCCTAAAATGTGTCACCCGGTGTCTGTGAACACGAGGTGGCTGTGGCACAGGATTGAAATGTGGAGCAGACTTCCCAGGGCTCGGGTTGCTTGCCCCATGGTGATGCTTTCCACCCAGGGAAGCTCCCTCTGCTCCCAGCAGATGGCCATTATTGCTGTTATTCAGTATTTGCTTTTTCCAACCTGGCATCATTGCCTGAGTTTGAACTTGAGCAGAAAATGGGGTGTAAATGCCAAGCTGAGAGCCAGGAAGGTGCAGGTCCTAACCCTCCCATGCAAAATTCCCCCCCCAATTCCATTGCCAGCAGCATCCTGGCACTGCTGGTCCAATTTCCAGCATGGAGCTGCAGGAGATGCTGGTGCCCACGGGTCAGGCAGGGACCAGCTCAGAAACAAGCTGTGGGGTTGTCACCTTCCCTCTCCTCATTTTCCTTTTGTTTTGGTGCTGGCCCTTAAGTCTTCCACCGACTTGCCATTCCTGTTTGCCCTGATGCAAGCAAAGAAAATGAAACGTATCTCAGCTGATGCGGCCACCGCGGGTTCAGGCTGCCCGAGAGGTGTGTGGGAAGCTCAGCATGGGAAACCCGCCCTGCCCTGGGGCTCCTGCCCCGCTGCTGCTGTCAGCCCGATGGGGTGTAACTGGGGCTGAAACCCAACCCGGCACCTGCCGAGCTGTGTCAGCACTTTTGGGAGCAGGTGGGAGGCTCAGGAGACCCTCCGTGCAGCCCTCACTGTCACCCCACGGTGGCCCTCGGCATCTTGAGCCTGTGGTGTTGCCGGGATCTGATGTGCAGGGAAAGCAGCTCCTGGGGAGAAACCTGATTTAGGGCAGGGTGGGTGGAAGGAGAAGCATCTGTGGGTGGGAAAACCTGGGTGCAAGTGGGAGGGAGCTGGTTGTGCTTTGCTCAGAGCCGCCACCTGCCAGAGGGGCCACAGCAGGTTCTGCCCATCATCCATCTCTCCTTGTGTCCCCCGACTTCCCAGCTGCAGAAGGGCAGTGAAGGGCTTGGGTCACGCTGGCTCCTTGCCTGCCCCCCTCCCCAGCCACATCCTGGAAGGATGGGAACAAACTCTTGCCCCACCACCCATCAGTCCCG